ACGGCTATCGCTGAGGCCTGGGCTCGTCTAGACCACAAATTTGATCTGATGTACAGCAAACGCTGTTTTGTTCATTGGTTTGTTGGTGAAGGCATGGAAGAAGGCGAGTTTTCCGAGGCCCGAGAGGATTTGGCGGCACTGGAGAAGGACTACGAGGAAGTTGGAACCGACACGGTTACAGAAGAAGGTGAAGATGAGGAGTAAAAAAGTCTAGTGAGCTTTCTGCATGTTCAGATATGCGTGTTCACGACTTCAAAAAAAAAAAGATTCTCATCGCCATTATCATTACCTGATTTGTCGATTTAGTAAGATTTTTGAGTTTCGTCCCTTTTGAAGTTTGTTTGAGAGCAAACCGGCTCCACTAACGTAGACAATGCGCATCACTACTGCCTAAAATTGCCCTCACCTACATAACACCCAAATTTCCAGTCTGATACAACACCAGTTTCTGAATTTGTTGCAAGTTTAGTTGTTGAACACCAAACACCAAACTTTCATTACAATTTAGCTAATTTACAGTCGCAATTTCTCCACAGATCTGCAAAGTTTGCGACCTCCCCGAAAAACCCTACAGACGTGTTTATGCTTGATTTTTGAAGTAGTTTATAGGTTCTCGTGTTTTGGAGTGAAAAGTTAGTACGAAGAGTCCTGTGAATAAAAGTTTTGTATTTTTAAAGAAAGTTACAGACGTACATGCAATCGATTTAGAAAGTCTCTTGAAACAAAATTTCGCTTTCCTGCAAAAAACGCTCCCCTTATGTAAAGTAATGTATTGATACGATACCTATTCGGAAAGTTCATTCCCTTTAAAACACCGGTGGAATTGTGTAGTAATAAATGTTAATGCAATGTTAGCGCCAAAATTACAAACCTTTTGACAAAGTACATAGAGGAGGGCCACTGTACTGGGTAGGGGTGATGAAATAAGCACCCTCCCATGCTATTGGCTGGAAGTGGCCAATCAAAAAGGCAACTGCCGGCTTTCCTTATTGTGTCCTTATTTCTAAGGTTAATGTATTAAGCTACTTCTTAAATGAAAATAAAGTGCTATGGAGGCGTTAGGTTCTAGAACTGAGTATGCTCATTTTCCATGACTTCGCGAATGGTGGAGTCATTACTGTCCAAAATAATTGTCCGCTACTATGTTGACACAATGGACAAAATGAAGTCTGAATCGTGTCAATACTACTGATATTTATATTCCCCTCTCGTTTGCTCCTGATGCATGCAGCAGAGCCTGCTAGAACTGATCTAGTGCCTGAAAGATATGATGGCCTAGACACGCGATGGAGATGATATTCTTGGTACGGATAAGCTTTCACGCCTGATGCTTCAAACTTCGCTCGTTTCCTCATCTACTTTTTTTCCTAGCAGACGGGATGATAACCAATGAATTTACGGGTTCTGAAAAATTAATAAAATGAGTCAGTTTTCACCAATAAACAACCGCCTTCAACCAAGGACCATTCACAAAAAAAATTAGCACTGAAAATGAAGTCATTTTTGACAGCTAGACACTTTTACAGTAAACACGGCATGAATGATGGGGATCAGCGCTAAGTATTCCATTTTTTCTTGTGGAAAAGAAAGAGTAGCAGTGCGATTACAGCGGTCAGGTATGAGTTTATGAAAAAAGGAGAAAAACAGATGGAATTCGTAGGCCCACCCGCTGTTGCAAGCGCTAAACTACTCAATTTTGACGGTTGAGTAGATGGTTCGTACAAACCGATTCGCCGAGAGGTATCCAATGGCGCCTAGGAGGTAAGGGAACCCAAAGATGGACGATCAAGAACAATCACAGATGCTGATCCACAAGTTAGGCGAGACATTAAACTAACCACACATGCATCCCAGGGCGAAGCAAAAGAAGGCCATGTAACTGAAGTAAAAGGCGGTCTGAAATAGTCCAAACATTCTGCAAAAAGGCGAAACAAGAAAGACAATAAGGCCGTCGCAAGACCTGCCTACTTGAAAACAATGTGAGGAGATGAGTTACAACTCACTTTGTTTTAAAGAGGAAGTAGTAAATGGAATAGATGTACACGTAGACAGCCGTGGAGGCGCCAGAGAAGAAACTTATCCATTGCCTGGAAGGAAAAGCGCAGAAGTAGGAATGGGATAGCCCGATGTGGACTAAACGAACCTCATGAATGTAATTCAACCTTTTCGGTTTCACGAATAGAGTTTAACAGAGTTTCAAAGCTGCAGAAACCTCTCGTCAAATGCATATAGCATTTCCAGAACGTACTGCTCAAAAACGGTATTTAAAAACATCGTTTTGGCAACGAAACTCTCTGAGGTAGAAGCGCTACTATTACGAGGATTCTCTATCCTCAACGATAATGAAAAACTACGTGTTGCTGTTGATCAAAGACATATTTGACGTGCGTGATGATGCATTACGTTGACATGTACATTAACTGAAGGCTAGGCAAATGGATCGCATTGACATGCCTTAGCAAATGGTAAAGAGCTTCTTTTACGCACATGCTAAATGCAAACCGTGCACTTGAGAACGATTGCTGACTGATGTGATGGAAGTGGCTTCTACATCCAAACATTGAGCAAATGAACATCAATAATTACGCCAGAACGGTCCAGTCAACACCCACACTCAGAAAACAGTGCTATGTTTGTGTAATGGATTGAAAAGGGAATTGTTCATTTGCCAAAGGCCGAACAACTATGACTGAGATCTATGTAGTGGATACGATACGTCACAACTCAAAAGTGCACAAGAAAACTTTCACTAAGAAAATATCCACAGCTAGTCAATCAGCTGGAAGAAAGCCCTATTTTGAAGTGACAACGCAGGATCAAAATTTAATTGTGGGAAAATTCGTAGCTTAGAATAGGAGGCCAAAACAACCCCTCTCTCCTCTTGGTATTCAACAATCACACGCAAAATAGACGACTGGAAACTGAAATTGAGATAAATTAGGTTGTTCCCTTCTAGGCACAGAAAGCAGAACTCTAAATAATCTTATCTCGATAGGAAAAAATAGCCAATCGTAGAGTGATTATTTTAAAAAACAAAGTATTTTGAAAAGATTCCTAGGCTTATCTACTCATCCCTATAAGGCCAGCACCAACTCATTTGGCTACCGCATAGAGACTAATCGTATCAACAGTGTGAAAGCAATAAGCACAGAACTTGCAAAAATCGCAAGCTGTAGCGGAACCACATTAACTTAATTTGTGGGCCGTACGAAAAGGTTTTCCACCTCCCGCAATTCGACCTCGTGGCAGTGGTATAGAGATCTCCTTGTGCCATCTACGTCCACAGTCTTCCAGCCCTTCCACAAGTTTGCTGATAAAGACACTCTTCAGACTCGTGCAGTTTATAGTGCCTTCATAAGCAAATCAGGTAATAAGGCAGTCCACAACAGAATATGCATTAGGATGGCTTTCGATCGGTATTATACCTCCATATGGAGCTTGACGAGCTCTGTTGGGTCTACCAATTAAAGTAGGCTGATGTCTGGTACACCTGGCTTAAAGGCTAGCCTGCGAACAAGCGCTGGTAGTCCTAGAATATACAGTTTTCAAAAACGCTGTCAAAATTACTTATAACGATTGAACCCGGAAACTTATCCAAACCGTTTCTTACGAACTGTAAGATTGGCATATTTAATGGCCTAACTAGTCGAGACGCAAAACACTGAGTAGTCTAGACAGCGAAAATATCAAAATATCGGCAAAAGGGAACAGCAGCTCACCAGCGGTAGTCCTCGGCATTGAGAAGGAAGTAGGTGCACACGACGGTGGAACAGCCCGTCACAACAATGAGAATGAATATGACGAGGAGGGTAAAACCATACACATAGTAGACCTTGTAGGCCCAGAACGAGGTAAAAATGAAGTACCTGTAACATATAAGTCCATGTCAGACCTTGGGTTAAAGTATCTTGTCTCCAAATAACAATCACCACAATTTAAACAAAAAGGGAAAGTAAACTGACATTAGTCTCGAAAAATAAACTACTGCAGGACTTTTACGGCTATAAAATGATTGGAAATTAGTAGATGTGAGGGCCGTTACCCGTTCCGTCGTTAAAATTAAACTACGCAGGCCTATCCTAGGTATCCTGTCATTCACATACGGCAACACAGGGTGCTGCCCATTCCACTTATGCTACTTGTCTCCTAGCAACTCTCTCAGGGATTGCTCGGACACTACATTGACGGTGGTAGGCGGGCAGAAGGGCCGCCAAGTCACAGAAAAAACACTTTAGGTGAACAAATCTGTGTAAACTTAAAACAGAAGTAACATTAGAAACAACATTAACTTTTGAAAACCACCCCTGCCCGAGTTCCGTGCCATGACCAGTAAGAAAGAGTAGTGAATTGTTAAAGTCATCTAAAAATTTGATGTCTCTACGTGGTGGGAATATGAGATAAACCCAAATACCAAGCAAATGGTAGTAAAGCTGGCTGGAAGAATAAATACAGAGCAAAAACCAGTAAAACTGCTTCAAATTGTGTTCTTTGATAAATTGGTTTCGTCTTAGGGTAAATTTCCCGACAAAAAACTGACATAAGAAATACGCCCGTCCGTCCGCTATAAAATAGTGCCAAAAGTTAAGTCGCTCAACAAATGATCTCTACAATACGATCAGCAGTGTTTGACCGATGGGTCAATCGAAATACACAAAGGGTACCACCAACAATGGAATGGAATCTATTTTCGCTACAATGAAAAACTGACGTATGATATTTAATCCTGGCTTGTGGGTGGTATCAATGCACCCGACTACCTTGAGCTGAATGAAAGAAAAAAGTTACCATAGGAAGCACCAAGAAGGTCAATCAAAAGAAAAGGGGCGCTTCTATATTTTTCACTTAACGTTCGCCTCTTAAAACCTCTTGCCTTGTAAAATCCTCAAGAATAAAATGTGTGGGCCAAACTCTGATAGACGGAGTATCAGAGCACTCAGTAAAGAGGAGAGTCCATTTCAAAAAGACCATTTAGCAGCTGTTCATAAGTTAGCCTTGAGGGCAAGCCTTCCCACACAGTTTACGACTAGAGGCACAGAAAGCCCGAATTATGGGTAGTTACGAGATACGTGAGCATTACACTACCAAAATCCAGGTGATTCAAGGACAAGTTCAAGAGAAACTCGACGATCATACATTTTGATGAGCTAGATTTGAAGACAGGCATCCTCAAATACTTTATAACAAGAAGCATACAAAAATAGCAGATCTGAAATACCGAGAAACAGGAACCAAAGCTCAACATGCACCCCTGCGGATTGAATGATAGTTTAGTGAAATCATTGAGAGTCAGAGTTCCCTCGAGGACAACATACATCTCAATAAAGATTGAACCAAAAGGTAGTACACCGCCGATGAATGAGATGGCCAGAGGTTTGGTGAACCACTTAGAGGCGGGGATAGGTCGGGGGACGGAATTGACGCGACATGGATTGGCCATTCCGCTCGCGCTTGTGCCTATCGACCTACCGACGTTGCGCCCAAGCACAGTGCCCACAAGGTTCAGCGGCAGAATGACGAAGACGATGATGGCAAAGACGGCGAGCATGGTGAGGAAAGGAAGGACACGGGAGGTTTGATAGAAAAGGGCTAGAGTGTTTATTCCCAAGGCGATGATGACAACCAAAGTGGGCATCAGCAAGCTGCCCAGGAAGAGCTGAAGGATCCAGTTCTTACCTGAGAAAGAAGGACAGAAATACTTGTTACAGTGAACAAAGAAATGTGAAGGAGCTAGATGGATGGGCTCCACATTGAGCGACACTACTTATTGTGATGATGAAAAAGAATTCTAGTTAGTTGTTTAGACTAATGATACACACCACCACTAGTGGCGTGGTCGCCCAACCCTTTCGCGTGCTTAAAATAAGGTTGATTTAGGATAGGCTTGCCGCATGACGTCTTCGAGGGTTACATCGATAACAGCATCACCAAACCTCATCGAAAAATACTGCAATCCCAACTTCGGTAGCTGGGTGCTGCGCTAGTGGCAGAGAAGTGATGTGTCGTAGATAGTCGAATCTGCAGAGACTGTCAACAGAGAAGATGTCCACATTCTGGCTTTTTTGGTAACTGATCCTATTTCCAGGTCTGTCTTATGCTCAGCAATAGTGGAAGACCATAGTTAAATGGGGCTGAATCATCCATAAAACCGCTTGTGTTGATAATGAAAATGACCCGTTGTAATCACCAAGGTACTTTTTTAAAATACACATTTCACCATATACTTACATATGAAAAAAACTTCCACAAAGGGCGACCATCACGTGGAACTTGCGCGCTGTAGAACAACTTCATGCATTTAGTAATACTCTCCGAATGGGTTTACCTCCAATGCAATTAACCCTACAGGAGGTTAATATTCAGAAGCCTCATTCGAGTTCACAGGACGAATACCCACATTTCCGATGTGATGTAATTTAATCACCTTATTCCCCTTTGCGTTTCAAAAGTGATTACAATTACAATGGCCAAGGGGGAAGAGTGGTTGCAGGGAGGGTCAGGGAGGGCACTCAAAACAAGGGATCTATGTGGTAAAATTCTACTTGTTTTAATTACAAGTTTGACCACACTTGGTCCATCAACCCTCTACCCTTCTTTACTCTCGTAGTAAAGTTTCGTTTAACTCGCATACTTTAAAAATTCTTCAGTAATAATGCGGACGCTTTAGGCGAACAGATTCCACGGTAATATCTCGCGATACTATTTGTAGCGACGAGTAGTTGAGGAAATATCCACTTCAACGCAATGAGGACAGCATGCAACTAGCCATTGGCAAAAAATGGACGGTAAAAAGCCGTCAATTCACTCCATTCAAATCATTTAAGTGGCCGTAAACGCGAGTATTCACTAACCGCCCAACCGCAAGTAGGTGCGTCCTCCAATGAACCCGTTGACGGGAGAGAAGAGCGCATAGACAAAGATAATGGTAGAGAGGACACCGCCCCTCTCTGTGTACATTTTGCCGATAAGGGCTAGCAGAGCGACGATGAGGGAGACCACTGTGATGTGCACTCCGTTGCCAATGAGACTGGAGAAGTAGAGGATGCCTGCGGGACAACGAAATACGTCTCCGTGTACTTGCTTCCATCCGTACTCGTCTCCCAGCTCTCGCTCCTATGCAGGCGTGTGAGAGAGAGGTGGGTTAGGGATTAGGCGTATTTGGGTATTAAAATCTTGACAGTTCCAAAATATTTCTTCCCAACAACCCATTTACTCACTATTCATAAGTAGCATATTCGTGGCTCCATCACATACGCACTCCTTAGTAAGGAAGCATTGAATCATTTAGTACTGAACGTTCTATTCCATTCAGACAATTCATTTCAGTGTACGGTTGTTGTTTTCGAGTTGTACATATGGTGAATGAACTTAGTTGGTCCAAAGTCATGTTTGGTAAACGGACGAGTCGAATCAACTACTTGGTTGTCTAATGAACACAAGCTGCTGAATAACTTGAGAAGTTTTGTTTTTTGAAAAGCGGCCTTAGTCTGAACTTTGGATGAGCCCACGTAGATGGTGAGGTATACAGTAAGCTAATGGGTTTAATCTCGGTCATGCATGAATCAGGAAAGGTGAGATGTCACAGTTACTAATCCATCAACAATTGAATGAGTTCTGCTTCATGAATCAAAGAATGATAATTGAAGGAGAAGTTATTTTAAAGTCAATGATTTCCTACTACAATGGTATAACGAAGTGTCAAAGCATACAATATCTAATAAGAGTATCACTAAAAGTTGGTTCTCCAGGTGACATTACCCGATACAGCAGCTGCACAAAATCCAGTCAATGAAATCTAAGAAGATATGCATTACAACCTATTTTTTAAAAATAAGGGATTTTCGTCTACTGAACATCCCCAAAAAACTGCTTAAAACGTACACCAAATGTGCCTTTGAAGCATATTAGAATTATTCCAATCAGAAGTCGGCAGGCTGGGAGAGGCAACCCTCATCCCATATAACTAATTCCTATTTAACAAGTTCATCTGATTTTAAGCCTAATATTTTCTGTTACAAAAACAGAATTATTTTAGAAGGGTATCGAAAACTCACCAGATCTTCGAGACTGTCTTCACGATTGTAACGAGCGTAGTCTTTACGAAGTGTGCGCAGGAGGATCATGGATACTAACACGACAAGGAATATTACCATCATGAAGGAATTGAAGATGGAGAACCAGTGAATCTGTAAGAAAAGGAACATCAGAACATTTTAGGAGAGGGCGATGAAGGGTGGATGCGTTCCAAAGGGAGACTAACTCTGTGTTGATAGAAGCTTGCGTCCAAGTAGTAGTCGTAGCGATTTTCAAAGGGCAGTTTCGACTCAATCCAAGTGACCTAGAACATTTTACGAAAAAAGAAAGTCGTGATTATTAGGTTACGGGGATATGCGACTTGACTTCCAGCATTTCAGACCTTCTGCACCCCTACAACAACATAATTTACAGGCACCTGCAGCGTAAAACTTACTCCTAACGAATTACAGACATAAAGTAAACTGTTGCTTCAACTAAACATGCCATCTATGAAAGCAATACGGCATGAAATGATTAAGTAAATAACACAAGATGAGCCGTGGAACCTATCAATTTCACGCTTCACCTCCACCATTATTGTTAGTGGAATAAGGTCAAATTTGAACGATGCATGCAAAAAACGCTAATCTTTTAGAACAACCTTTCGCCGAATTAGAAACCAACGGACCGGGAGAAATCAAGTGAAAAAAATAAATCCTTTCAAGTTTTGACAATTAAATTGTTTTTGACTTAGATGAATAGATTAAAATGTGTCCTAATAGACAGACTTTGCCTTGCAAAAGATAATGTGAAGGATCTCATTGAAATCCATGAGATGGGGCACAGCTTTGTTGCGATATTCTCATCCCCAAAATGGCTTAACAGTGTCAGACTACCATTACAGTGGTCGGTGGAGAAGTGGATTAACAGATGTTTGAAATGTACCAATCAACAAGTGGTAAAAAAGGGTTACAGCAAAAAAAGCTCAAATAAATATGTTACGAGCCTTTCACACAAAGGGCCCAGTTAAGTATTTAACCACATAAGAACCAAAAGCGGTCAGAAATGCGCGGGAATGACGCATTTTCGTTGGTGAATGTAGCCTGGGAGACCTTTTCAAATGGAAGCATGGGAGGTCAAAAGGCACTGGAGGCATGCCCAATTTAGATTTTTTTGAGCTCTTTGGCATGAAGACCCTAGTAGAAATAAAACCCTTTCAGCTACCTGCTGTCTCTAGCGTGACTTGCTTGTGATGAAATTTTTAAAAAATTCACTCAAGAAGGGCTGATCTCATTCACCGATTTATTAAGCACACAAAAGCATTGTTTAAAAGGGCATGATTCAAGGCAAACTGAAAAAGCAATCGGTGCTAAGGGTGTTGAATTGGTTGACACTGAATAACATTATTCGTCTGGACTGATTAAGCCACGTCAAGACGCAGAAATAGAATGGTACTTTCAAATCATATACCTAACTCCGTAAGCATTTACGGGTAATTCCACCGTTGGGGCACTACACTGACAACATGAAGTCGTGTTGTCAGTCTTCCAATCCCTCTACACGTTAAAAAAACGACCTCTGGATCCATATGACCTGCAATGTCTTCAAAGGCAATTCGCGCCCTGCATTGGTACCAGCGTTAAGTAAATTTAATTCAAAAGAAAAACACCAATAGTCCTCATTTTTCTGACGCACACTTCCCTCAAAGACCACGGAAAAAAACTTACTATGGATGGCATAATATACACAAACTCACAATAGAAGTGTTATTAAAACCACATCAATGATTTGCTACCATCTCAAACTCGAGCTTAAAATCATGGCCAGTATTGAAGCGAGGCCAGATCTGAGCGGATTAAAAACGTGTTAAGCAATTGCTTGAAAAAAGCTGCCTATGCCCGTAATTTAAAGATCTGACATCTTCTACCGTTAGCAGACACTGGGGCGGAAGGACGGAATTGATAATGTGAACAAAAGGGGAAAAGGATGAATTTCGACCATAGCTTCACGAAACTGTTTTATTCTGCATCATTGCATTCTAGGTATTTTTGTTAGAAAAAGTAATTGAAGCATAAAGTGCTCTCGGTGTAAAACATCACTCAGCTTTAAGCGATACAGGACAACTGAACTCCTACGATACAATCCATAAAATTATTTTCACCACAAAAGCCTATTCAATGAACGCATGATACTGATTAAACAAGCCTAGCATTCAACACACACCTAAATATCTATTCCTAGAAAAAAACGAAGGCACTGGAATATTAAGAAACTAAACACGTGTGGCAGACATACACCCACAAAGCTAAGAAATCGGACGAACCTCATAGGTGTAGATAACCTCAGCGCCAGCAGCAACTTCAATCGGATCAGAGGTGCCCAGAGAAACACCGACGATTTGGTTGTGGTTGAAGAGAATCTCAAACTTCTTGTGCGTCCACAGCATCGCCTTACCGTCGCGCATTTCGCCCACCACCCCGACCAGGGAGAGCTCATCTAGATACATTTGGTACCAGTAGCGTTCGACGATGGCCGAGATTAATTGGCTGGCCTCGGCTTCTGTCAGGAGTCTGCGGCAAAACTCCGTCTTCTTCACCGACTCTGTTGGTGATCAATAAAACATACTGTTAATTGGGGCAGTACAGAAGCTAGCACATCACCATCACACGTTTGGCACATGGAGATCACAAACCACAGGCATTTCAGCGCTGAACGTTGAAATCTAGATAACCAAAGTGCCACAGTACTGCTTATAGAACCATAACAGCCATAGGTTACTACTGGATACGAACTCCTTCTTTTAGGATTACCCAATCCTTATAATACTAATCAAGGAAGCATCTCAGCGTCCGATACTATCATAAATCAAATATATGGAGTTGATTAATAAAACCTATACCACCGACAAATTCATTTCATGACCCGGCATATTATCCAACCGGTATAAAAACATCGAAAGTTAATCGCCCAGCACTGTAATAGCAAAATTACTCTAAAACGCCAGTCTCAGAGGCCAACTTGAGATTCGCGATGCTACCAATACGACATTTCAGGGTCCGAGGTCCGTGCCTAAGTCACCTCAGACTAAGCGCAAACTGCCGAGGAGACTACTCCAGAGTTAAAAATTCATTGAATTTAATGTAAACTATGTCCCTAAAAGCAGGAAAAATTAAGGCTAATTATATTGCTGAAGCAATTTCAGTGACGAAACTCAACTTTGATAGGCATTACGATTTGGAAATATTTTTCTGAACTGATAACTCAACTAAGCCTCAACCTCCTTGCACATTGGTAAGTAGGTGTAGAACTCACTGCACCAACGCCACATGATAATGCTGAAGGTAGGCATTATAACATGACACAGGTGGGCACTTACACAACTGAGATCGAATATCTGCAAACAACTCAGTGGAGAGAAAACCTAAGTCGTGAAATCCTGGCTTCTAAAGCTGAAAATACTCCCAACAGGTGCAAAGCCATGCAAGCACAGATAAGTCATTTTGATCTGCCACGTTCCCAACTGATGTAAGTGGCAGATAAATACTATTGATGATTTTTACAGCACACAAAATTGGACAGCACTGCAAAGAAAAAAATGCATATAATCAGAAAGTCCTGGACTCCATGCTTATATTGGAAAGGAAAGTAGTTATTTCAAGGTCATTTCACAAAAAAAACGGTCTCAAAAAGAGGGAAGTGAAATCAACTAAAGCAAAACACCGTACAACTATGCATCAACACTGCTTAAGTTGACGTTCCTCCGTTTTCCGAATTAAGATATCAGACTAAGTAACTGAATCAACGCTGTGACAGGAACCATGTCGACAAGATGGATACCATAAAAGATTGATGACCATTTGTCGGTACATTACACTCTCGTGACAAATGACTAAAAGCACTTCTCGCCCTTTGAATGAAATGCTGCTTTGGGCCGATAAACCCGAAGTTTAAGTCAGCAACTTATTCTCGGAATTGCCATTGGGATAATATTACCTTTTCCGATCCTACCGCTAGCTTTAAACTCATAAACAGTTATTTTTCGCAAACCCTCAACGAACCACTAATGAATTTCCCAAAAATTATTTCACTTAAGCATTTAAAGACAGATTTTGCTACCAAAAAGCAATCCAAATATGGAGATCATTAACTGCGTACGATTGTGCAAGTTAATAAAGAAGAACTTACGTTTGAATCGAATGTCCAGACCACTGAAGTCGAGTTCTATTCCCTGTAAAGCCTCAGCAAGCGTTTCATGATAGTGCTCCACGTTTTTAACTTCACCTTTGCAAAAAGGCAGTTTGAAGTAGGCGTAGGTTTCTTGAAGATTATGATAAGGACCCACTGTGTTCATCCAGAGCACTATCTGTTCGCCCTCCTCGTACTGGAGGAATTACAGGTGTAGTTACAGTTAAATGCATTAAAGATAAGGCCTTTTAAATAATCTTAACAATCTACAGGGATTTTTCCCAGCATGGTATTACATTTTAATTAGCCAAAGGTAAAAAACAGTAGAATTCAACAAGTATACGTATCTGTAAACGCCGAAGACAATAATCTGTATGGAATGATACAGACTAAAGTGACCTTATAAGTTCACAAAGGCACCTTTGACTTCGTTGCTTTATGTTAATTCGTGCTACCAGAACAGGGGAAAAATACATTCAAGTATTCCATCAGGATGCATTGGGAAATAAAGCCAAAAATCTGATGCCATGAATAATCCTGAACTATAAGTTCCAAGTCTCATGGGTAACTCGCTTACCACATGTGTGTGTTCATCACTAAAGGCCGAACCAAATAATATAACAAAAATAAAAATCCTCCATAGCCAGCTGTAACGCAACATCACCATGCACGCACTAAAAGTGCAGCACTAGTGTGCTTATCTTTTGATTGGTTAACTTAATTTTGAGCTTGGAAGAGGGCCTAAAAAGATGTGGCACTTTTTTAATAAAATTTGCACATTTTTGACAAATATGTGACAAAATAAATTTTTTAGTCCTGCCACAGTTTATTTCTGCCTAACACGCTAAAATCCTTCACCTACTCACAGTCTTGAAGGTTGGACTTTTGAATAATCTGAACGACGTATTTAATGAAATGGTCGTTTTTATGGCTTTTGAATGTTTGAGTAATAACTTCAGTTAAATTTGCATGTCGCCTAACCCAAGGAAGGCACTAGGCGCATCAGAACTCGTGGACACCAACTATGACTTTTGCAAGAATGTCAAAATTTGCGTGAATATTAAATACATGACATTATTTTCCATTAGCCATACTTTATTTTAGTGAGTGCGCGTGATATTTTTCAAAAGTAAACTAATTTTATTGCATTGAGGCACTACTTGACACATCAAGCTGAAATATTTTTCCCGACAACCTATTCGGTGCGGAACCCGGTACGACAGGAAGTATTTTAGCGTTCCAAGACTTCTCTGAAGACAAAGAAAACCACAGTGCTACAGTTGAATATGTATTATTGACGTACATAGGAGCTGGGTGGGCTGCTGTCATGTCCCAGAGGCTATGCCGCTAGGCGGAAGTACAATGGCCGTCCTTTTAATGCCCGCTATCAAAACAACGAGTTAAGCAAACAGTTAAAGTATTACAGCGTTAAACACGGCATCAACGGTTGCCATAGTTTTTGTGGTCCTCCACATAAATGAACGGAAATCATTTATTCATTTGTTTACTGTCACGCAACAAAGGTTCCGAGCGTTCTACGGAAGCATTGCTGTTGTTAGTTTTGCTGTATGATCTGTCTTAAGCCGACAGTTCGATTGCAACATGCCTCAGTAGAACCCATGAGTTTTTTGAAACAGATTTCACTGCCTTTTCGATTAGCAATAAATATAAATCCAGGTGGTCTATGGCAATCCAAAGGGTTATGTGATCTTTTCAAGGAAATTTATCCGATGCAATTTAGTTTGCCTTTCAAGCCTTTTGTATGCAATGCAGCGAGGATAATTTAAGGACCATAAGTACCTTTATGGATGTACGAAAATAATTTTGGGGAGCGTGGTGGATGGGTAGGTCTTAGGGCCTCTGGGATGGGATGTACGTCGACAGTACATATTTTGTCCTAGTATTACGCCTTCTTTTGGTGCTACAGGTGAGCTCAAATGACGATGTTGGGTTATTTGAAAATAGAGCTTTATACAGGCAAAACCCGCTCAAAGACTTCAAAACATTAACGCTTATCTGCCCTTAAATATGTCAATTATAACTAATGTTTGCAGAACTGCTTAGTGCTTGATGAGCCTTTCAAATAGGTTAGGCAGCCTGTCGTCTTGAACTTGAATGGCTTTCCACTAGCAGATACCCCTGGCTTGTGAGATTTCAAACAAGTGTAAATTAGTGTATTTAGTTGTAGAATGGACTCATATTTATGTCCTTCTGCATCATGTGATGTCATGCTTTTATGGTAATCCGGGATGCCTAATGGTTTCAGCTAAGATCAAAAGCCATGGTGCTGAGTTATTATGAGCCTCCAGCCTTTGCCTCATCATAGTGGAAAAAGCGTCACGTGCTCATAGGGAAGAATTATGCAACTCGACAAATAATGTTGTATAAGTTGAAAATGCTTGCTAAAACGAAGTTTATTTATTTTAACTTATTCTTAGCTGTTAGCTCTTAGAGGAAAATCAACCTCCACAGCCAAGATGTTTTTTGTCCTATTATGGCTTCAACAATTTCATACTATCAAACGGACCAATTCAACTCCTAATCAGTCAATTATCAATATGTAGTCGACCCCTTCAGACCAAGCAAAACCTACATTTATTTTCTCTAATACGTTCAGTTATTGTAAACTACAGGAGAACCCATGTCACATATTTGTGACATGTGAGAGGATTTAAGAAAACTGGGCTGGTGGCTGGTGGCGAATCTTTTCTTCCACTCACTAGACATTTCAGTGCCATCTGACCTCTTGTCATGGTTAATATTATCTACTTTTTGGGTCATTTTTAAACATGAGCACTAATGTTTTCAACAGTCTCGCATCACTGCCATTCTTTAATAAGTTGTGAAAAGCCAAATCTCAAAAGATGTAAGCACTGATCTAATTACATCTATTCGTTTACTCAAACAAGTTACCAACTTCACATATCTATTAATGTCATTAATTTTTTTTCATTTTCGCATAGTTTTCTAATTGATGTTCACCCAAGCTAGCTAATGGTAAAAATTGTTACAGGTACTTTGTCATTTGAATTTGGTGAAATGAGGGGAGAAGTTTGTCAACAGATTGAGTTGACAGACCTTTTTGCGACTCGTCATGCCACATATTCTAGCTTAAATGCGTGACTCTGACAATTGCCG